CCTGAACATCAGCAGGAGAGGACTCTTTAAAGTAGAGACACTACATACTGATATACACCTGAACATCAGCAGGAGAGGACTCTTTAAAGTAGAGACACTACATACTGATATACACCTGAACATCAGCAGGAGAGGACTCTTTAAAGTAGAGACACTACATACTGATATACACCTGAACATCAGCAGGAGAGGACTCTTTAAAGTAGAGACACTACATACTGATATACACCTGAACATCATCAGGAGAGGACTCTTTAAAGTAGAGACACTACATACTGATATACACCTGAACATCAGCAGGAGAGGACTCTTTAAAGTAGAGACACTACATACTGATATACACCTGAACATCATCAGGAGAGGACTCTTTAAAGTAGAGACACTACATACTGATATACACCTGAACATCAGCAGGAGAGGACTCTTTAAAGTAGAGACACTACATACTGATATACACCTGAACATCAGCAGGAGAGGACTCTTTAAAGTAGAGACACTACATACTGATATACACCTGATCATGATGTTTAGATAAAGTTCCCTCACCGTAGTTTGAAGACGTGCTTCTTCTTCTTGTATTCTGAGGCCACGTCACAGACGGCGTCCTGCAGGCTCAGCGATGTTTCTCCGTGATACGACAGGCCAGTCGCCGCCGCCTTCCCGTCTTTATAGAAACTCACTTCCTGTTTGTTGACCACGCAGTACACGTTGTGCCACGACCTGCCAATCAAAGTCAAAGTCAACTTTCTTGTCAATCTTTCCGTTTGTGTGTACAGAGATCGAAATACCGTTTCCCACAATCCAGAGGAATACAAAATACAAATATATATACAAATATGTATATCCTACATATACTCAACAACAGACACATTTATACATGTGCACACATTAAGAGCTAAATAAAAGCACAACAATCAATAAATACAAAATAACAGTCACTTCAACATCTCAGGGAAATGAACATTAGTGCATTAGTACATTCCTCACACACGTAATGTATATATAATATCCTGCTTTATACTTTGTTACTGTACATTTCTATTTTCCACATGTATATTTGAGATGTTCACATTTTGGATTGTTTATTTCTAGTCTTTTAAATTCTCTAATGTTCCATGCCTCTTCTTTTTATGCTGCTGCAACGCAAACATTTCCCACATTGGGATCAATAAAGTACTCATTTTATCTTATCTTATACAACACTCTGGAACTTTATCGACAACCAAAGATCACACAGCTAGCCAGACGTCTCATATTGCTTAAGTGGAAATAAACATTTCCTGCAACTTTAAGCTGTGGATTAAAGATCTTACACATCCTTTGACATTAGAGAAAATTGGAAATTTGTTGGAGGCCTTCTTGTTAGGCCCCTCCCATTCGTGTGTTTGTCAGTGTTTACCTGTTGGAGGCCTTCTTGTTAGGCCCCTCCCACTTGTGTGTGTGTCTGTGTTTACCTATTGGAGGCTTTCTTGTTAGGCCCCTCCCACTCGCGTGTGTGTCTGTGTTTACCTGTTGGAGGCCTTCTTGTTAGGCCCCTCCCACTCGTGTGTGTGTCTGTGTTTGCCTGTTGGAGGCCTTCTTGGTTACGGCCCCTCCCACTTGTGGGTGTGTCTGTGTTTACCTGTTGGAGGCCTTCTTGTAAGGCCCCTCCCACTTGTGTGTGTGTGT